GCAACTATAAATTTATTTTCTTTTCCTCCATCCTTCTCAGGGCGGAGTTCTTCTCTACACCAACTAGCTTGGGAGCCACCTCACAGTTGCATATAGAAAAATATAATTCTATTCTACAGCAGTTCTTCAATATCCCAAACTTACTCCTTTGTGAAGTAAATCCCACAAATAGCCTTTTGAACTTGTGTAGATTTAAAATCCTAAGAGAATGACACACAAAAAACAAAACCAAGGGAATGTCTTCGTTAGAGACAGCTCATAGCACAAATCAGGTTCATGACATGCTGCTGCATTTTTGTTGCTTATAGCTACTCTTGAAGACAAGTGGCTCCTTTGAAATGTGAATGCAGAGTATAGATTAAGAAAGATGTTTCTGCAAAGGATGTGGCACATTTTGGGAAGTTTATGCACTCTTTGTTGCAGGGCGTAACCCTGCTTAATGGTTAACTTAGTCGTATTGAAGTCAGTGGGACTATGCCCCTGTGTGGTCCTCTATGCCACAGTTAGGAGCTGTGTGAGGTAGCACTTTGTTTCAGGTATTTGATGAAAATCTTGATGGGAGCTCTAGTTCCTACTGATGTGTAATAGTATTTCTATGAGGAAAACCACGCTAGCTGGCAAAGAAGGACCAAATATGAATTATTTTTCAAAGCTAATAATTTTTTTTTCCTGAAGTGTTACAGCCCCTTATGGCAGTAAGATTATCATCATAGGTGTATTGCAGGTGACATCTGTTTAGACTGCTTAGACTTACGGGGGGGGGAAAAAGACTGTCAATGGCATGGTTTTAAGATGGTGCCTTTTAGGAGCTAATCAGTTCAGCTCAGTTCAACAAACAGTACAAAAATTTTAAAAAGGAAAAGGCTAGTTACTAATGGCAATTTCATGTTTTCAACATCAATATGAAAAATACGTGTTTAAAAATACAATGAGCATTGCCAGGTATGTGTGCCTTGTGTAATGGCCATCAAAGAAAGCTTTTTTTATATTCTTATGGGAGCAGGGTGAGTCTGAATCCCAGTCCCAGGAGCTATACATGCTTAAAGGTACTGTTCAAAGAAATCAGTGCAACGGAATGTGCAGATTTGGCGGACAGGACTTGGCAGCCATTGTGTCCCTGTTAGGTAGTGCTCAGATTCAGACCAGTGAAACTGGTTTACCAGTTAACTGACTTGGATAGCTCTTTTGAAAAGAGTGCTTGAAGCACCTTCCAAGGAATATTTATAACTTTCTGAGTGAGGCCTCCTGACCATGTGAACAACCTCTTGTCAACAGCCTGTTTCTCTTCTCCCTGAAACCCTTCCATTTAGTCTCTGTGACCACCCTCAGTTCACAGCTGGCATCCACAGTCCCCAATTATTGCAGAACTTGCCAGCCAGAATCAATGTTCCTTGTCTGAGTCCCACCCCTGACTGAGATTCTCGGTCCAAAGAATCTATCTTCTTGTTTGTGCCGCTCATCTAGGCTGACATCTAGTCTCCTTCAAGGCAAGAAATATGCTTGCTTTGAGACATGTGCATGAATTCTAACTACCACTTTGTCTCTTTAATGTCACAAAGTTCAAATATGAGGCTGATTTCACGCAATCAAGACTGTCTAGAACATTTTCATAACAGAGAGTTGTTACCAAAACATCTATTTGCTCTGTGAAAAATGGAAGAGACCAGTGCACTCTTGCTTTCCAGGCACAAGTGACCGTAAGTCCCTGAGACTAAAAAAAAGTTTCCCAGAAAAAGCTTGGCTAAATCTGAGACATTGGAAAAAAGGTTGTCCTATAATGATTCCCAGGAGTCCCAAAGTGCTTGTTGTGCATCAATGAATTATGCCTTAAAACATCAGAGTGTACCAGAATAAATGCTACCTGTTTACGTGTCTGGTAGAAATGTACTTATGTTCCAAACTGGATCCATCTTTCAGATGTCTCCAAGATCAGGAGTTTTTATCACCAGGTCTACATTTCAAGTTGATCTCTCTTCTTTATAAGGTTTGCCATTTTCATCGTTAATATCCCCTCTTCCTGAAAAGTGTGCATCTTAATAGTGTAACCCAGCATTTCTGTTGTACATTTTCATTAGCTGGCTGCATTCTCTATTTAATAGTAAGTGGATTTCTGAGTTATTGCCGTTTTTTTAATGATGACATTTTGGATTTTCTCACCTCTTTTCCATAGCAGCTGTGAACATCTTAATTGTTTCAGTTTTTACCTCATCTTGAAGCACAGGTGAAATGACCTCTGTTTTAGTGGTTTTATCTTTAATAAAAGTCCTTGTAATTGCTGAAGATTCGAGGGAGTTGGGAAATGTATTTGTGTTCGGCACAAAAAGGGTATTTACTATTAAAGGAATCTCTAGCAGAGCGATATTGTAACTGATTAAATGGCATTGTTTGTTTCCGCAAGAATTAGTGTCTGTAAATTATAGGTGTAGATATCCTTCATTTTTATCTGCCATTCCTACTTCAACGCACTTCTGCTAAATGCAGTATAGTACTTGGAAAAAAATGTGTATACGCTTACCTCTACCTATTGGCAATAAAACAGATGTAAAGGATCAGAACTTAGGATTATGACCTAGCCAAAATGGTCAGCAAGAAAATAAAAATGAGGTATTCTTGGCATAGTCATGTGCTTGCAGCATTGCTTTCAGCAGTGGCTCAACCTTACAGTTTTGGAGGATTCCATGTGGAGTAATCTAGGTCAACTACATTTTGTAGGAAAAAAAGGAGGAAGAAAGCTTGATTATCAGTGCTATTCTATCTGAAATTTTGTCTTGCAGAATATTTGAGCAGTGTGTTTGAGATAAAGATACATTCATTCAATTTTTGTTACTGGCTGGTTGGTGTTTGATTCTGCCTTCACTGAACGCAGATGAAGAGATTAAATAGCCTGGACTCTTTCTGTCATGAGTTCAGCTTGAGGCTTGAGTCACCAAAAAGCTAGCTAGATATCTGTGATTGCTGAAGTGAAACCAGCTAATCAGTTAAACAGTTCAAAGCAGATTATTTTGCTGACAACTGACATGTCTTGTAGAGTTGTGCATTCTTCTATTTCAGAAGCTCTCTATCAACATGCAGTTAGCTAGCATGCTTCGTTTGGTTCCTTTGGGCATCGTAGTGGTATATTTTATTGTAAATGGCTCAACAGTTGAACAGATTAGACCTGTGCTTGGGGAGCCCTGCCCAGTCAGCTTACAGATTTGGAATTAACGTTTTCATACATATTTCATAGGTGGTACTTGTGCATTTCAGTAATTCCCTGTACATCAAGCTGGTCATTTCTTTCCGTATACAACTGTTGCTTTTAGAAGTGCAGTAGATAATAACCATCAATGTTTCATTTACTATAACTATTTATTAATCATGAATGATTGAGGACCAGATTTTTAAGCGAACTGATGGAGTTGAGTGAAATGAAGCCTACCTTTGTATAATTGTCTAAGCTGTATTCTAAATATCATATGGGCTTTGTTGTGCTATAAAGATGCATTACTGATTGGTATTTTCATTAAGAATATTAGCATATGAGTAACAAACAGAAAACCACAATTTTTATAGTCACATTGGCAATAAAATTAATCTGGATGGACTTCCTTGCAGATAAAAGAATTTCTGGATCCATCAATTTTCATTCCATTGTAAGGCATGCCTGCTTTATGGATTATTTTAAAGATGTTTTTTGTAACACAGCACTAACAGCTAGCTGTGTTTCACTGACTTCCACCTATTTTGCTTTCAATTTTTTCTAATTCCCTTTGATGTCCTTGGCGTTTTGAAGCCAAAAAACCCCATATAATTATCAGGGCTCTTGCATTTCTAAAAGGTTTCATTAACACTGCTGCTTTCTGATTCATGCAACCAGCTGAGGCTCTGCGTACCTTTCCCACAGACGTTTTTGGATGTCTCACAGATCAGTGAAGAATCACTTTGCCAATAGGTGCCACTGTTGCTCTACACACACGTCTGAATCGTCAATGTCCTTCAGCTGAAAAATCCAACCTTGAAAAAGCAAACCTAAATCACAGTGACTAAAATGTTGCAGAGGTAAAACTCTGTACAGACCATGGCCAGAGGCTTGTCCATGACAAGACTAAGGTATATGTTTTATCTTGTTCCTAAAAATAATTATATTGTTGCTAATCTTGAGCAAAATTAATTAAGATATAAATATGCATTGAATTAATTTCAGATATCTTTAATCTAAGCCTTTAACTTGCTGCAAGTTTATTGTTGAGCCTCAGATCAATAGCAGCTGAACCTTGCAAATATCTCCTCTGGACCAAATGTGATTTAAATGCAAAAGTTGCACACCAGTGCAGTAAGACATTGGACTTCTGTCAGCACTTTTTACATAGGTCGTTCACATACTTTCTCAACTGAGTAAAGTATCAGCATGGCCTATCCTGCTGTGTAAAGGCGACCTACAGCTATTTCTTCTAGGTTTACTGTTTGTTAACATAAGATCAGCCAATGTAGTTTACTTTGCAGATTATCTACTGCTAAGTACCATGCCGTATGTAAAGCCAAGGGCAATCAAGGTCTGCTTGCTTACTGCATTGGGAGAAACCTGGGTTCACCTTGTCCTTAGGTATGCAGCCATTTCATATGTTTACTTTATTCTTGGATGCTTCAGACATAAGGAATGACACAAGCTTCTTCTCTTTCTTCAAAAAAGTGTTTAGCAAGCTGTGCAAAAATGAAAAAAACACTAAGGACAAAGCAAAATTGAACCTTTGAGGTTCAATCCCACCCTTTTTTTTTCTTACTGCAACTGTTCATTGAATAGAAACCAACAGATGAAGATTTTGTTTTCAGTGATTTAATACATCTTCTGAAATATGCCCAGCCATCTGCAGGTCAGAATGTAACCCAGCAACTTGTTCTAACTAGTAGACAGCCCTCCATCTAAATAACCTAATTCTCCTTCCTTCCGCATGGAACAGATCACTCTTACGTATATGAACAGCAAGCCATATTAAGTAGTACTTAAGATCACCCTAAGCAGTTTACACAGAGGCATCCCATGCTTTTCTGTCTCTCACTAGTTGGCCGATGGCTTGCAGATATTTCTGACCCCTTTCATAGTCCAGGATTCTACTAACGTTTTGGGGAAGATGTCCCTGGTTGGATGGGAGTTTTAGCTGATTGTCTCAGTTGAGAAGTAGCAAAAGCAGAAATCGGTGGGCTTTCATAGGAAATGGTGTAGACACTGTTCATCACTCCAGCTTCTTCCTTGTGCCATTTTTTCTTCAGGTGCTCAAGAAGGCCATAATTGGTGGGTGGTTCTGAGACAGGAAATGATTAAATGTTAGACATGATAGAATTAAATTTTTGGTACTGGTGTTTTTACTCCACAGTTGTCATAGGCAATATTTGTACTATTTTGACAGCAGATTAAGGACAAAACAGATCTTTCTGTTCCCAGGGCATGTATGTCTACCCTCTGGCTGGAAGGGAAAATCACCATTAGATATCAACAGGAGAGCAGTAATGGTATAACTGTACCATAACAGTAATGGTATACTGTAAGGAGTCCTGGTTCTTCGTAGTCTCTCTGGTAGATATTAAAAAAGTTAGCAGAGCTGTACATGTCACTTAAATTCAGAAACATAATAATACTCTGTGAATTCTCCTGCTAGTTGTATCTCACAGCTCTTCTTGTTTTTCAGGGGGTGTCTTCTATTATTGCATAGGGGAGAGAAATCTGTTCGTGGACACTATCCTTCACTGCTTTCTGCAATGATTAAGTATTGTAGTATGGATAACATTTCCACTTTATAAATCAGTAAAATAAGCTACTGACTGGGTAAGGAACTAGCCAAAAGTCACATTAAAACAGAAGGAGGTTCCTGGCTCTAAGTCTATATTGACCACTGCACCATGTTCCATCTGTTTGAATTAATAATGCCAAAAACTACCAAGAATGGGGAAATCTGATTTCAGAGGAATCCAGGCAAACTTCTGTCCATCCCAGCTGCAGAGGGGAAGCAGCACAAGGTTATAACCTCGTCTATTGTATTTATCGTCATACTCCGATACTAGATTTCGGCTTCTTGGCTCCTCATGATGGGTGAAGAAGTGCTGCATTGGCAGGCCCTGAAATGAGATGTACAAGAAACCATGCTGTTTGTCTTTATACATCGCATCCAGATAGCTTAGCATGCTTTTGAGTCAGACTGGACTACCAGTGATATCACAAAATTACTTGTACTTGTAACTTAATCCCTGAAAATGAGAGTATTTGCATTTCAAGTAAAGTAAATTTCCAGCTACATTAAGCAACTACATCTGTATGTCATGAGATCTGATTAGTCTGATTTCAACACATGCAGCATGGATTTGCCAGATACAGTTAAGAACCCTGCAAATGAAAAGCTGATTGTCTTGTGCCACTTAAGTTTTATTGTGCACTAGCATTACATATGCTACCTTTTAACTGTCTGTCAGGAGGGAATGATAAGAATATTTGGGGGTAGAGAGGCACCTTGGAGGAAGGGACATTCTCGCAGATGATACTTGTGGGAAAAGTATTGTTGTGAAAGATCTGGGACTCATTTAAGTGCAGTTCATTCCTATGGATCGGAGCTGTGCTGATGAAAATAATCCTCTTTTCGAGCTCATATAATAGCCCAGGGAATGTCCTGAAGACACAATATCCCATCCTAGCTGGTAGTAACTTGCTGATTTTCTTCGTGTGCCGTGGTCACCCTCCGAGGCAGAGTCTTGGAAACAACCAGAGAGTACCAAAAAGTATGTGCCATTTGTCTACCTCTGAGAGGCATCCTACTTTAATCAAACATACGAGGGAGCTCTGGATCCTGTGAAGTGGCCACAGAGCTCCAGTGCCTTCTTTTACACATACAGTTACTTAAGAATATAAAATATGATTTAAGTATTAGTCAAAGGTCATTGCTGTTTGGAATGTTGGCACACACAGCCCTACATCTGAAACTTCTTTTACTTACCTCAAATTTTTCCGTCATGGTTCTCCTTAGTGTTTGGTCTGGTTTGTGATCTCGCAAACAAATGAAGTCTGTTTTGTATATGCTGCTGCCGAGTTTCCCGGTGTCTTTTGTAAACTAGAGAGATATACAACACTCAGTATGGCTAAGGCAATCTGATAATTACAGAAGCTCTGTTCCAGTGCTGCTTGCTTCGTCTACGCATTTAAAAAGCACTTATTTGGAAAGAAGCCGGTGCTATGTACTTTTTCTCAGATAGTAAAGTCAGTTGGTATAATCAGCCATTGTAAGATTCTGGACTGATTCCTTGGTGTAAATAGAAGATACTATACAGCCCTTGAAAAATTATTCAGAGTTTGGTGTTAAATACTTTCACCTACCATGTGAACTAGCATCTGAAAAGGACGAATGAACCCTTTTGGGGTTTTTTTTGTTCCATTGTTCCTACTTCTGCCACAGCAGGCCAGTCTCTGCAATATAGTCTAGCAATTTGCTCCAGGGAAAAAAAAAAATCTAAAGGGAATAATTTTAGCAGAGTCAGGAGGATTTGCCCTAACAGCTACAATATAGAACCTAAATGGCATGTTTTGATAACGTTAAATGTCTAATGATAAAATTTTGTTCAGCTCTTAAATCTACCAAGCAGCTCTGCTAGCAAAGAAGCTCTTGTGTATACAAGCAAATGAAACCAATATCCAAACTATTAAAGATCCTCTGATACAAGTAATAATAAGTATTAACTTATGGAAGGGTTAATAAAGCCTCTCTTGTATCATGCTGGTATATATTATTAAGTTGTATATATCGATGTCGTATAGTTGTATGTAAGTTCTATAGCAGTCTGAAGCGATTGCCATAAAATGTGCTACAGCATTTTTAATTGGCTAATGTTACGCCCAGTGTGAACAACACAATATAACCCATGCTCAGGCATTGCTTCTGCCCTGGCTTAGGGAGAATAGCAGATCGTTAACAAAATGAATGAATGTAGGCCGAGTAAGACGCTTCTCCTCCTTTTTATTACTCTTCTGAGATGAGCCTGGACTCCAGCTTACGACTACAGTAGTATACCACCTCCAGAGCATTGGTTCTGACCCACTCTATTTCAGCTCTCACACTTCCCTCCTGACCTTACCCTTTTCCTCTCTTCCAGCCAGTTTCCAATGAGAACTTTATTAGAGTATTTGGGTTCAATTTTCCACCAATCCTGTCCATCTCTTTGCGATGAAATCATATTTCCTTTTCTCACCGGCACCTCCCTCCCTGGTTGTTGGAACTGTTCTTCAAGTCATGGGGGTGAAAGATTACTCAGTAGTCCAGTGCTAAAACTAGGGCAGAAAGGGGCTCCCCTTCTGCCTGCCTGTGTGCTGAGAAATGTGGGTGATGTGTAGAACTGCTTGGCCTAGAACCATTTGTGTTTGCTGTCCCCACGGTGACTGTCGTTCCAGTAACCACATTCTAGGCTGCATCATACTTATTGTTGAGCAAAACAGTGGCTCCTAACCCACTAAAGTCACCTGGGTATTTTTTTTTTGTAGTGTTCAGAATCAGAGCACAGAGTATGTCTCAAAACATTTTAAGTGGCATACTCCTCTATACCAACACACCACACATACCTGCATGACACACAGTCTCTCTTCATAGACAGACAGGTTTTAGTTTAAACAAGTGGGACAAACCAGGATGTCCATTCAAAATAATGTTGTTGTTTATTGACATAGCTAAAGAGAAGGGCTTGCAGCATGGTACAAGCTTGCATAAAGTCTGCATATTGCATGTTCCAACTAATAGCTGGAATGAGGTTCTGATGAGCCTTGTTTATCATTGTTAACAGCTGCCCTTGATTGACTAGCCATCACCTGATATTAAATATCCTAAGAAGGTATTTCCCTAGGCTGAGGCATGAACAGACTGGTGGAATCTAAGATGTTTACTATAAGCTTTTTAGGAAGTTAACAACGCTGTCCAATCCCCTTTTCCCAGCTGGAAATGAGAAACCGCAATAATCGTATAGGCTTATGACTCCATGGAATCCATCCTCGAGGTGGTACCAGGTCACTCGAACACCGTTGTCCTCCAATCTCTTCTTGTAAAGCAAGCCATCATCCCTCAGCACGTCATACTCACAGGTCAAGATAAAAGACTCGGGCAGCTGGTGAACAATAGCATCTTCAGCTAACAGTGGACACAGGTTGGGCTCACAGAATCTTTTCACTGTCTCATAAACTTCAGCTATAAAATCAGTGCGCCTAAGTGGCTTCACACCTCTGACCTTAAATTTTTCGGGGATGTTATCTGGGCTCACCCACTTCCTGTACTTCAGCTTCATATCTGGAGGAATATGAGAGCCCTCCAACACTTCTTGCATATGCAATGCATCCCCGTTTAGATACTGCAAAGCAAAGAAAGCAGCACGTTCTCGGAATAAGAGAGGGACTCCTCGATTTTGATGATAGGATGGTAAATTGAAGTCCAGTGCCTGAAGGCCTGGGTAGATCAAGATCTGAGCACGTAGTCTGGGGAGGTCTGATCTACCTGCAAGGGTCTGGCTAACAGCAGCTGCTAGATTGCCCCCAGCACTGTCCCCGCAGACAATTACATTGTCGGGATCCACCCCATAGTGCTCTGTATTCTTCATAAAGTGTATGGTGGCATTAAGACAGTCTTCATAAGCAGCAGGGTATTTGTGTTCAGGAGCTAAACGATACCTAGTACACAGAAAGAGACAAGTATAAGAGAAGGAAATGTCATTAGTATTCATCAGGAAATGGTATTCTACGTCCTCTTCCAGCCCTGTCATTTTGGGGTGGTTTTCCTCCAGGTCAGGATATTTATTGCCTCTTAAGCAGGCATTCCTCAGTTAGTGATTGCAGATAAGCTGTAAATTGTGTATTCAGTCACAAGGACTCAGTAAAGCAGGGTTGTCTTCTCATTAAGAGTCTGACCAAGACTTTGTACATTTCTTAGTCATGCTGAAAACTCCCTGTGCATTCTTGACAAGATAATTTAGTAATTTTCTGCCTCTGTTTCCTATGTGTAAAAATGGGAGTAATACAGTGTGATTAATCTCTCTTTTTCTATAAATCACAATTGTTTGGATCATCTTACTACACGTTCATATGTTCAGCACAAGGAAGGCTTGTGTTACCTAAGTTTTTGATTGGCTTTTATAGATTTTCTTAACGTGCCAAATATTTCCATTTGGGTCTTTTCTGATTACATCAGGGCATGAACACTTAAGAGCTGTGAAATCTCCGTTACCACTATTTGTATCTTTATGGACTTCACTGAATTCTGTAGAAATTTCTCCGCAAAAAAAGAACATCTCCAAAACCAGTGCAGCAACAATAATCTCTGAACAATAGAACTGGGTAGGGTTCACTTACTGAACAGATACAACTACCGATTCACTTTCTCTGGATATGTAGCGGCATACTTTTTCATAGGTATCTGGAAAAGAAATGTTTTCATTAGTGCTTTGCTAGTGCCCTAATCTTTGAGACAGCTAGGGAATGCTCATTCCAGAAAGGCATGCATTTGTCTTCAGACTTCCTCCCAAATCACATGCTGTAAACCTCCTCTTACTTAAATTTTATAGAATTTTATAAAAACGGTGCTAATGTTCTTCTTTTGCTATATTTCTATAGCTATAATTTGCTATATTGCTATAATTCTTCCAGCAAATATCTTACCAAGACTTCCAAATACCCAGCCTCCTCCATGAAAGAAGATGATACCTCTCCTTCGCCCATCAGAGGTAGCTTTAGGCTGATAAACCCTCACAGATACTTTGTTAAACTGCAGATCCTGGATAAAGAGCTTTGGATCCACCCCTAGTTTCCGTCCCTGTCGCACGTATCGGCCAAAAGTGATCTGACTGCAAAGTCCAGTCTTCTCCAAAATCTTTCCCTGTTAAAGGTAAAAGAAATTAAGGCTTCTTTAAAAGACTTGTTAGCAAAGGTATAAAAACTCTGCATCATACTTACATTGAACTGTATTTGAGGGAAATTTTAGAGAAACACACGAGCTTACCAAAAAAAAAAAAGTGGTAATATTGTAAAATATGAATACACTCCAAGAAGATATAATAACAGCACAAGAAGTTAGAATAACTACCATGAGGACTGTTCATAGAGGAGGGTAATGGCTACACAAGCATCTCCCAAACACTCTCTACATGGCTTCCTGTATACTGAGCACTGAGAGGAGAATTCATTCTAATAGGTTGTTTAGTCCTTGGGTTTTGCCTTAATAAACAGTTTTTCCTCACTGTTTTCCAGTGAGGAAAAGTAACTCCACAGTTGGTTTTCTTGATAGGAATGTCCAGTCCTAAGAAAGTGAGAGATATCAGGACAGTCATAAAAACAGTATTTGTTTTAAGTTTGCTTAGATTAGCTTTACCAAAGAGGAGATCTACCTTGTATCATACCAGCAATCACTGGAATCTGTAGAATCAGATTGAAAAATCTAGTCTTCACATACAGCAATTTGACCCCTGTTGTCTGATAAAAATAAAGCTCTCTGATTCAAGAAAAACAGTTTTCCCAAGCTCTGACATCCTACGGACTGTAAAAAATTTACTTCCATTACTCAAATCCAGTGTCATTCTAATATCACGTCAGAAATTTTATACAGGCCATCCAAATGGGCTGTCTTGGAGGATACATTTTAATTGTCAGTATTGTCCTGCACACCTTTGTGCTCGTTCTTGTTTCATTTATACTTGATAACAACAATGAAATGTCATATATAGAAACAGCAATAAAATCTTTAATAGTTCTTCACTGCATAAACTAACATTACTGAATTAGACCATAAAACTCGATGAATTTGAAAATCTTAAGTGCTGAGTTGTGTTGCGCAAGTTAGTTACTGCTTTTTATTTGCACAACAGACTTACTGAGCAAAATCAAGAAGCTTCCTTTCCCAATGCTCTTGCAAGCTAGAATATAAATCTGATGTAATAAGTGAACAAACAAGAAGTTGGGAACCAAATTAATTAATAGAATCAAACAAATAAACTGTTACAGTTCAGTTACTAAACATGAACCCAATTTTAAATGCGGGATGAGAGTCTGTCTTTATCCATTGCCTTCTTGTCACCTGCTAGTGGGATTCAGGAGAGACGGGTAGCTTTGTCAGTAAATTCCAAGAGGATGTAAATGGTGTAAGAAAGAATTGTGGGAGGAAACAAGGTCCGAGTGATGGCAAAGGCGATGTTGTGGATGAAGGAGTGAAGGAAAGAATTGAAGATTGAAAAAAATTAAAAGGTACAGAAAGTGACAGAGGAGGTGTTTAGGAGAGCTCTAATGCCGTTTATGCAATGCTGTAGAAGAGAGTCCAGGGATTAAGTAAAGCAGCCCTAAACGGATTTTGTACCGTAAATGTCAGCCGTGGCAGGAGCAGTTAAGTGCTGTAGTTTTCCTTGTGCAAGGTGACTTCGCCTAAAGCTGAGAGCAGTTATCAGACGAAACACCAGCTCAGCTCTGAATTCGAGTGTTAAATCAACCCCGCCGTTTGCCACTCTCTGCTAACAAGCCCTGGCATGCTGCTTCGGAACCTGAAACGGGTTTTGCCCGTGACATGAGCAGCGTCCCGGCTGCGGCTGCTCCCCCGCAGCACTCTGCCCGTGATGTGCAGC